ACTATTAGTCGCGAGATCAAAAATTTTTGGGTTGCGACACCTATGGCATCAACTACACAGAAGTTTTTGCCCCTGTTGCAAGACTTGACACTGTGAGGGTGTTACTAGCTATGGCTGCTTAGAATACATGGCAAGTTTTCCAGCTCGATGTAAAAAGTGCATTCTTACATGGTGAAATTACATAACAGATTTATGTTCAACAACCCACCGACATTATTAAGAAAGGAAGAGAAAGCCAAGTCTACAAACTTCGAAAAGCCTTATACGGGCCCAAGCAGGCACCACGAGCTTGGTATTGAAGGAAAGATAAAAATAAACTTTCTGTGTATATGGATGTGATTTTCTCACGTAGCAATGTGCATAATATAGGCACCATATTGGCCAGTTATAAGCATGCCAAATCACGTGCACCGTGATTCCTAATTTTTTATAACAAGAAGAACCAACGAATAAGATAAATGTATCGTGGGCATTTACCACTTTTGTAAAAGGCAAGATATGTTCACGTCCAGAAAATCCAAAACGGTTTTGCAATTTGAACGTTAAAAAATCACGAAAACCAACATTGATCAAAAACATAATTAATTTAAATTTTAAATTATAATATAATTTCTCAACAATCTCCCACAAATTTAAAATTTTAAATATGGAAAAAGATGATATATATATATATATATAAACTTAAATATTTTAATGGAGCATGATATATTATATTTTCAGTATAAGGAACCTTCCGGATTTGAGCCTTATACCTAGTGCATATGAATTTCTATCTGAGAGAATATGGAGACATAATTGTCTTGAGCCATATCTCTTTGACCAAATTTTAGAACATAACACGTATAATAAAGGTGTTCATTTGAGTTCTAATTAGTGGAGCGCATTACGGCCTTGCGCATGTATCTTGTTTCGTGAGTGTCACTTAGAGATTGCCCATATCTCACAGTAGCGGCCCCACCACCACACTCACTAGGTGAACCCTTCCAAGGGTGGTCTGTGACACCCATTCCTACAACAATTGTCATTGGGTCCATTAAGAGGTATTTTTAATTTTAACACAATAAATATTTAAATACCTCAACCTTATTACTGTCACAGTTTACTTTAGAGTACACCTCGTCATAGGAATGGAACATGCAATAATTTTGCAGTTTACAATGGTGTACTTAGTTAACAAACAATTTTGTTATAACCCATTGAACTCCATTTATGGGATCGCCATTTATGTGGCGATGAGTGTCCATTTTTGCAACTAGTTGATGGACTTTAGTCCCACTCCCGTCGACGATTCAAGTACTTGTTGACGCGTCAACCCTTTTCTGAGTAGATCCGCAAGATTATGAGTATATATTCCTAACCTACCAACAGTATATGCAATGTCCGGTCTTGAGAAATTAGACAAATGCAACAAAGAACCAATAATTTGAGAATATTGAAGAGGAGAGACACTTTCACCAATATTTTTCTTCAATTTAATACTAGGATCAAATGGGGTAGAAACTGGTTTCACATCAAAATAATTAAACTTTTTTAATATTTTTTCAATATAATGTGATTGTGTCAAAACAATACCATTTTGATTCTTAATCAACTTGACACCTAAAATAACATCAACAAGATCAAGATCCTTCATTTCAAAATTACTAGACAAGAAAGACTTCACATCATTTATAACATGTAGATTACTACCAAAGATTAAAATATCATCCACATAGAGACATAAAATAACACATGAATTATCATCAAATTGTTTCACATAAACACATTTATCACTATTATTAAACTGAAATCCATATGAAGAAACAACTTGATCAAATTTATCATGCCATTGTTTGGGAGCCTGTTTTAAACCATACAAGGATTTAACAAGCTTGCAAACTTTATTTTCCATTCCAGGTTCTATAAAACCTTCAGGTTGATTCATGTAAATTTCTTCTTCCAAGTCACCATTTAAGAAGGCAGTTTTTACATCCATTTGATGAATTTCCAAATTAAAAACACATGTAAGTGCAATTAAAACTCTAGTAGTAGTAACTTTAGAAACAGGAGAGTATGTATCAAAGAAATCTACACCTTCTACTTATTTATAACCAATAACAACAAGTCTTGCCTTAAACTTATCTATGGAGGCATCTGTTCTTAATTTTTTCCAAAAAACCCATTTACAATCTATACTCTTGCAACCAGGAGGAAGGTCAGTCAAAAACCAAGTTTTATTGATTTTAAGAGAATCTATTTCATCATTAATAGCTACTTTCCAAAACGGTAAAAACGCATTTTTATATATTTTCAATTTTTTTTTTTAAAAAAAAAGAGAAGATAGATTCATTCATTTGAGTGCTAAATAACACTTGAAATAATATGATAGCAAACGTAATGATGTTATTTCCCTCATATATTTTTGTTTTATTTTGTTTTTCATGGTATTCTTAATTTCACTCTATAAGTGGGACTTTTCCTATCTTAAGCTATCCTTTAAACTAATTTGACCTCATATAGATGAGTTAAGATTAAATTTTACAGGTCAATTTTGTAATATTGAATTAAGTTTAAAACTCGCATTATTATTGTATTTACATGATATATAATTTAGTAAAAATTGTATTAAATTTTGTATAGTAGTAAGAACATCAAATACAACGGATGACCAATAAAAATTACAATATGTTAACACATATTTATTAAAGATTCTAAATCCACTAGTTATATTGCTAAAATAGTATATATATATATATAT